CCCGTGCAATGGCCCGTTGGCTATCGCGTGCCGCGGATCGGATTCACCTCGAGAATTTGTCCCGTGTGTGTAACTGACATGTGCCGGCCAGAGGCCAGGTTTGGGTCTTTGGGCACTCCAAGCACGTGCTTCATGGTGGAGCCCGCCGGCCAGCCCGCCGTTCTCCATATAGATCGAACCATCTCTGGTGAAGAAACGGGTGGGACATGGCGGCGTTTTCAAACTTCCGTGTCCTGCCATCCCGTTTGCCGTCAATGCCACCGTCCGTTGGCATTCTTCTCAAGCTCTCTTCCTCCCTCCCCTCCTCCGTGTCAATGTTTGCGTTAATGATCTGCTGGGCACTCCAAGCACGTGCTTCATGGTGGAGCCCGCCGGCCAGCCCGCCGTTCTCCATATAGATCGAACCATCTCTGGTGAAGAAACGGGTGGGACATATATATATATATATATGTATATATATATATATATATATATAATCAAGGGCTTCGCCCTCTGCCGCCGGCCCCCTGTTACTAGTGCGGGCGGCTGCGCGGGGGTCTCCTTGGGGCCTTTTGGAAACGATGTGTTGGGTCTCTTGGGGGCCTTAATGGGGCCTCTTGCGGGCCTCTGGGAGCCTCTTCGGGCCTCTTGGGACCTTCTTGGGGCCTCCTGGGGCCCTAGCGGGGCGGAATGGTTGAGTTGTCGGTTCGTGGACTCCCTCTTGGGCCTCTCTTAGGACCGTCTGAGGGCCCTTCTGGGCCGTCTGGGGCGCCTCTTGGATCGTCTTGGGGCCCTTCGGCCGTCTTGGGGCCGTCTTCGGGGCCTCTTGGGCCGTCATGGGGGCCTCTAGGGCCGTCGTGGGGCGATCTTGGGAACCTCTCGGTCCGTCTCGGAGCGTCGGAAAGCCGAAAAGGCGAAAAAACCAAAACCTTCAAAAACGTTGGACATCGTTGATTTTGCTTCGTGGGGCCCTCTTGGGAGGCCTCTTGGAGGCCTCTTGCGCCGTCTTGGGAACATTTTGGGCAAGCTTGGGGCCGTCGTGGGACGTCTTTGGGCCATATTTGGCCGTCTTGGCCTCCTGAGGCTCTCTTCGGAGCCTCTTCGGACAATCTTGGAGGCCTCTCGGGCCGTTCTGGCTGCGCGGTGGCGTCACCATGAGAATCTTGGTGTGGCCCAGAGCAGCCAGGATTTGAGGTTCACCCTCCCCCGTTAGCTGTTTGGTGGCGCTGCAGGGCCCCCTAGCAGACAGTTAACAGGAGGCAGGAAACAGGACTGGAGAGACGAATGGCTAAACAACCAATTACCACAAAAAACACATGACAGCAAACTGCACACACCTTCGCAGCCTTGCGCCATGCGCCTCCGACACACACATATCCATATATATAACCCATATGTGTATAAATGTGTGTGCCGGCCCATACACATATAGATATATATATATATATATATGTATATACATAGGTCTATCTATCTATAGTTGTAACATGTATATAGTTATATCGATATACCTATATGTATATGTATTTGTAATATATATGTATGTACGCATATAGGTGTGTATATATACATATAAGTATAAGTATGCCCATCTATATACGCACCAGGGGGGAGGCGCGCGGCCCCAAAACGGGTGCCTTGACCCTCCATGGGCGGACCGGGGCTGGCCGGTCCCAGAGCGGACCAGGAGGACCCCAAGAAGCACAACAATGCCTCAACAGGGCCCCAGAGTGGTTCAGCGACGGCCCAAGAAGCTTCCCAGACGCTCCGAGAAAGCTGCAGGCGCGTTCCCAAGAGGGCTCTAACCGTTATACGTTTTAGCATTTTCGCTGTTTCAGCCTTCAGACACGCCGAGACGTCTCAAGAGGCCCCCCAGACCTCGCCCAGGCGGCCCAAGACGCCCCCAAATTCGCCCCAAGATGGCACAAGAAGGGCCCAATATTGCCCCAAGAGGTGTGCCAGAGGGGGAACGTGGAATCCGACATTTTGCCCCGACAGGCTTCAAGAAGGCCCCAAAGAGTCCGCAAGATATACCAAGAGGCCGCCAAGAACTCCCCAAGACGGCCCAACACGGCCCCAAGACGGCCCAAGAGGCGCCCAAGACGGCACAGGATTGTCCGAAGACTACCCATGGAAGGGGTTTCGGTATTGGTATCGCTCGTCACGGCTCATCGCCAGTTTCACACGCACAATGAGAGAGGAAAACAATAATTTTGCAAAGCGTGTGCCGGCATAACCGTTCCAGAAATGGCTGAAGGGGGAGTAAGACCCGGAAGAGGAGGAGGAGGAGGAGGAGGAGGAGGAAGAGGAGGAGAAGGAGGAGGAGGAGGAAGAGAGATGGATGAGGAGACGGGGTCTCGGTATCGGCATCGGCCGGCAAAATGAAAGATGGACCCAGCAATTGTGCACAGCGCGTTCCAGCGGGACCCTTCCGGGTCACGCTGGAGGAGGAGGAGGAGGAAGAGGAGGAGGGAGGTCCAGAGAAGGAAGAGGAGGAGGAGGAGGAGGAGGAGGAGACGGAGGATGATTTGGAGGAGGAGGAGGAGGAGGTTTCCCCTTAAGCATCCGCTCCCGACCCCAAGACGGCCCAAGAGGCGCCCAAGTCGGCCCAAAGAAATCCCAAGACGTCCTTGGGAAAGGGCTCTGTACTCGTATCGGTCGACGAAGCCTCTCACGAACAATGAAAGATGAAGCCAGCAATTGTGCACACCGCGTTCTGGCAGGGTCTTTCTCAAACACGCTGGAGGAGAAGGAAAGTCAGAAAGAGGAGGAGGAGGAGAAGGAGGAGGATCTGGAGGTTTCCCATCTCTCCTCGTACGCGTCGTCGCAGTCGTCGTATTCGCTGTCCCGGTCGGCCGGGTTCAGTGTCCATTTCGAAGCCGGTTAGGTTTGGCTCGGCTCGAGTGTCGAAATCGCCTTCTTCGGTTCGGTTCGGTCCACGTTGAAAAAATGATTGGTTCGCACTGGTTCGGTTCGGCCCGGTTCAGTTCGGGCAGTTCGGCTCGCTTCTGGAACCATCTTGTGGCAGTTATTGTCCTTGTCGCCGTCGTCGTGGTCGTTCGTAGTCGTCATCGTTGTCGAGATCGTCACAGTCGTCCTCGTCATCGTCGTCGAGGCTGTCGTCAAACATCGAGACTGCAATCGGGAGTGTTTGCGCCAGAACCTAAGCGCGCGAAGCGCGCGCGTGGTTCTAGTTATTCACCACCTACCAAACCACCCCAACCCAACCCGAAGGCCTCAATTTGCCCTCCATTTCCAGTGGGGGGGGGTCGGGGAACGTTGAAAAAACAGATGGAACCCGTACCCCCCCCAACCCAAAATTCGGGTCAGATTCGGGTCTTCGGGTTGGGTTGGGGTGGTCTGGTAGGTAGTCAGTTATATGTTTGTATATACACACGCATCTACCTAGTGGTATTCGGGCCTGCGGCCTAGCCCATCACCGTGCCTGGGTTGTGGGTCAGTGGCCTCTTGGATGCTTGTTGGGGTCTCTTCGGCACCCTCTGGGGAGACTCTTGGAGGCAGTTTTGAAGCCTCTTGGGGCCTCATTGAGGCCGTTTTGGGGCTTCTTGGGGCTTGTTCTGCGCCTTTGGGGGGCTTCTGTCCGTTCGGATTCGATGTGTTTCGGTTTCGAGTGTGGTCTTGAACTTGGTGTCGGCAGGGTGGTTGTAGACCCAGCTGGGGGCGAACAGCCATCCCTTACCTCTTACATCCTACTTTTCCCTCCTCTTCGTCCTCCTCATCCTTCCCGCTGTTATCCTACTCCCTCCTTCCCGTCGCCCTCCTCCCTCCCTCCTCCGTCCTCCCTCCTTTCACTCCTACCCTTCGCCTTTCCTTCCCAAGGGGCAGTGCCAGGACCGTTCCCCAGGGGGGGGGGCAGGAGGGGGAGGCGCAGGAGGATGATAAGGATGATAAGGATGATAAGGATGATGATGATGATGATGATGATGATGATGATGATGATGATGATGATGATGATGATGATGATGATGATGATGATGATGATGATGATGATGATGATGATGATGATGATGATGATGATGATGATGATGCTGATGATGATGATGATGATGATGATGATGATGATGATGATGATGATGATGATGATGCTGATGCTGATGCTGATGCTGATGCTGATGATGCTGATGATGCTGATGATGCTGATGCTGATGCTGATGCTGATGCTGATGCTGATGCTGTGCTGGTGCTGGTGCTGGTGCTGTGCTGGTGATGGTGATGGTGATGGTGATGGTGATGGTGATGGTGATGGTGATGGTGATGATGATGATGATGATGATGATGATGATGATGATGATGATGAGGAGGAGGAGGAGGAGGAGGAGGAGGAGGAGGAGGAGGAGGAGGACGTCGAGGAGGAGAAGGAGGAGGAAGGAGCGGGGAGGAGGAGGCGGAGGAAAAGGAGGAGGCGGAGGAGGCGGAGGAGGAGGAGGAGGACCAGTGCAAACTCAATACACGTCAACGATGCTGCAATTGCAATATAGCATCCTTGCACATGCCCCTCACATAGGTACTGACACGAGCTTATACTCATCATGGGAAGTGCCTCGTCAGAAGACAACCGTCTGACGATAACTCCTGTGGCGAGATGCGCATTTTGAACAAGGCCCGACCTCCATCTTCGAAGCTGCTGTAGACTTTGAAGACGATTGCGCGCGGTGCTAAGGCGAGAGTCACATTTGAAAACAAAGCCTTTGAACCTGTTGCGAACTTCTTAGGCAAATGCTCGTGGCGCTAATGCGAGAGCTGCAGTGCCATATGTGGTGAGGAAGTCTCAGGTCAGACGCCTGGCCCGCCCTACCGTCACGTCGGGGGGTGCGACAGGGAGGAGTTATTTACACAGCAGGAGGGGGAGGAGGAGCAGGATGAGGAGGAGGAGCTCCTCCCCTCTTCCTCCCTCCCTCCCTCCCTCCTCCGCCCTCCCCCACCTCTCCCCACCTCCCTCCTTCGGGGCGGGCCAGCGACGGCAGCACCCCCCCGCCTCCGGCACACCCACTGCGGCGCAGGACCAGGCAGGCGCCCCGGGACCGCAGCGCAAGAAGGGCTGCCTTCCGTCGTGCGGCAGGAAGCAGTGAGGCCGCGCAGTGGGCGCCCGCTTCCCCCGTCCATCCAGTCGGCCTCCCAGGAGGGAGGGGGGGCGGGGGCGGGGGGGGGGAAGGGAAGGAAGTTTCCGGTTTCGGTTTGCAGGCTCTCAGGGGCTTTCTCGCCTCGGGATGCCTTCCATAATCTGCGCCGCGTCGACAGCGCGCCGAGGGTGCCTGGATCGTCCCGAACGGCTGCTGGAGACACGAGTGGTGGCCCGAACTGACAGGCCTCCAAATGGGGTCCGACTAGATGGGGTCGGAGGATCTCGCCGCATCGCAGAGGCATCGGCGATGCGCCTCGATGAGGAACCATAGTTTCTCCACGCCGAATGCGCTGATGCATCGGCGATGCGGCGTGATTCTCCCGCCCATCTCCTCCGATCCCACCTGGGGCGCCTCCATTCCGGGAGTAAGGAGGGGGGGAATGGGGGATATCTCGTCGACATGTTTGCCTGATGGTTTTGTCCCTCCTCCTTTCGCTCCTTCTCCCCCATCCTGCCACCTCATCTCCTCCCCCTCGTCGTCGCCCCCCCCCACCCCCCCGGGACGTGCGTTCAGGCTGCGGGAGTCAATCCCCGCAAGCGCGGAGCGGTGTGAAAAACGAGCGGCAGACGAGCCCAGAACGATGCTGGCCAGTTTTCGCACTGGGCAGCTCACTCACGCAAAAAAGGCAAACGAGTCTAACACAGTTAGGCTTAAGTCGGACCTGTCCCTCTACAGAAATAATATTCAAGCATAGCCCAAAAAACATTAAGGAAACGATGTTTGGAGTATTGTTGAGCATGTTTTGAATATGGTTCGGCTATTATTTATTTTTCGCCCAAAATCCCCCTGTGGGAGGACAGGCCCGGCCTAAAGTTAGACTGTTTTCGCGAGAGTCACACAGTCTGCCAATACATCATGAATGCGAACCGCGCCTAGCGCAGAGTGCAAGACAACATCGGGCGCAGATCATCGGACTAGGACGTCCAGGTGCCGACAATGGTATCTTGGAGTATGGGTCGAATGAGGGCCAGAAGAACAACAGACGAAACGACCCCCCCCGCACTCCCTCTTCCTCTTCGCCCGGCCCCCCTCCAGGGGGTGGTGGTGCACCCGCCCCACCACTCCAAGAGAGAGGGGGGTCAGAGGATGAGAAGGTGCCGACGCCGCTGCCCTTGACTACCTCGTAGCCACGGGGGTCTGCCTCGGTGTCCTGGTCAGAACTTACCCTGGGAGAGGTCGGGGGAGCCGCGGTATTTGTTCTGGTGGTTTGCTTGTTCCCCCCAGGGGCCAGAGGAGGTGGTGGGAGGGGAGAGGAGGGAGAAGGGGGGAGGAGGAGACGAACGAGAATGAGGAGCGGAGGAGGAGGAGGGAGAGGGGGAGGAGGGGGTCATGGCTGCGTCTGGAGACATTCAAGCCGAGAGAAAAAGGGAGAGAGAAAGAGAGAGAGAGAGAGACCTGTGGAGGCAAACGGGGTGCGCTCGCGCCATCTCTGACACCCTACCCCTCCCACCCATCCCTGCCCATCCCTTCCCATTGCGCTCATTCGCTCTCCACCCGCAGGCGCGTGCCATAGCGAACCTAGAAACCTCCCCCAAAGATCCCACCGTGCTGTGCGCAGTCGGAGAGGGGGAGCTGAGCGCAGGACGCGAAGGGCCCGTGGAGGGTCGGTCCCTCCCGGGTCTCGCCTGGGGCTCTCCCGAGGACAACCTCGGGAGGCAAGGCCCCTCGGCGCAGCCCAGCGGCCACGAGGCCGTCTTGCCGGTGTCCGACCGGGTGTCACGCTGGACGCTCTGCCTCCTCTTTGCGCCGTGCGCCTGGCCTGCCTGACTCGGCGGCCGCAGGAGCAGCATGAGGAAGGAGGAGGAGGACGAGAAGGAGGAGGACGACGAGGACGAGAACGATGACGAGGACGAACAGCAGCAGAAGGAACTGGAGTGGAAGGAGCGGGAGAAGGGGATGGCGAAATGCCATCAAACACGCATGACCCCCAGATTGCAAAACAAGCCTTGCGAAAACAGTTGCCGCCCATCTTGTGCGTAAGATAACAAGAGGGTGGGACATCTTCCGGACAAGATCATTGGAGAGAGGAGAGCAGTATTCATCATGTCTAAGTGTGCGATTTGTGTGCGTTCGCGCCATATTTGACATCCTACCCCTGCCCCTCCCACCCACCCGCCCATCCCTCCCAGGAGGCCCCAAGAGGCCATTGGAGGCATTTTTCTGTACTGGGATATGGGTTCGGGGAGTTTTGTTCGGGCCCCCGCAAGCTTCGCCCTCACAGGCTTCGGCCCCGCAGGCTTCGCCGCCCCTCTCCTGCGGCTTGAACCGTTTGTGCTTTACCCGTGTTCCTAGACAACGCAGTTGTTCCCCGAATCCACGGTGTTTTACGCATGTTCCTATAGATTGCCCCTCGGCTGGGGCTCGAACCCTGTGTGCTTATGTATGCTCCTGTAGATTCCCTTCGGTTGCGAATGGGGTTCGGATCCCTCGTGTTTCACGTAGATTGCCCCTCCCCTGGGGCTCGAATCCTTCGTGGTTAACATCCTCACCGCTCGCCATCGTCGCACTGTTTTTGTATGTGCCGTGCGCGCAGAAAGTGGGAATGTGCCTGGGAGACGTGTTGGCTCGACCTCCTTGGGCGGGATATCTTGGCGTGGGAATATCGACATCAGTTTCATTTAGTGCCCCCAGAGGGGCTGGCATTATGATGAGCACTTGGCATGTTCAAACATGGGGCATGATGGTGAAATGAGTCTTGTGTGTGTTGTTGTTGCTGGTGCTGCTGTCGTCGTTATTGTTGTAGTTGCTGCTGCTGCGGCTGCTGTTTTTTTGTGTTGTTGTTGCTGCTGCGGGTGTTGTTGATGATGCTGTTGATGATGATGCTGCTGGTGCTGCGATTGCTGGTGTCGTATCATGGTTATTGGTGTGGCGTTGTTGTTGGCGGTTGTGTTGGTAGTGGTGCTGTTGTTGTTGGTGTTGTTGGTTGCTGTTGTTGTGTTGTGGTGTGTTGTTGTTGGTGGTGCTGTGCTTCGTGTGTATGATGTTGTTGAGTTTAATGTTGATGTTGCTGCTGTTGTTGTTGGCAGTGGTGTTGTTTCTGTTGTTGGCTGGTGACCGTGGGCTTTTGTTGTTGGTGTTGTTGCTGTTGATGTTGTTGTTTGCGGTTGCAGTTGTTGATGTTCGTGTTACTGTTGTTCTTGTTGCAGATTAATTTCTAAACAACTACACGTATTTCTGATAATCCGATAGCCCTTATAACGGCGACGATGGAACACAGTGCCGGGGAACTGCTTTGAACATCACCAGTCGTTCAAAGCAGTGCCCCGGCACTGCTTTGAACGATGCGGAAATGCGATCAGCAGGAGCCTTCGTCTGTTCCTTCTCCTCTTCTCGTCGCTGTATGCTCTTCCTTGTCCTCCCTCCTCCCCCGTTCCCTCTCTAATTAATTACCTCGTTCTCCCAGTCTCACGCGCACTCTTCCTCCCCCCTCTCCTCCTCCTCTTCCTGCTTCTCCTCCTCGTCCTCCTCCTCCTCCGCCTCCTCCCCCTCATTTGTTATATTTCTCCGTCCTTGTCCTCCTGTCCCCGTTCTCCTTCTCCCTCTCCTCCTCCTCCTCCTCCTCGTCGTCGTCGTCCTCCTCCTCTTCCTCCTCCTCCTCCTCCTCCTCCTCCTCTCCTCCTCCTCCTCCTCCTCCTCCTCCTCCTCCTCCTCCCCTTCTTCCTCCTCCTCCTCCTCCCCCTTTTCCTCTCCCTCCTCCTCCTCCTCCTCCTCCTCCCCCTTCCCCCTCTTCCTCCTCTGCTATCACTCCTCCATAATTCCTGTCCGCTCCTCCCCTTCACTGATCTTCCTCTTCGTCATCATCATCCCTTTCGTCGCACGCCTCTTAATCCTCAATCGGTTCCCAATCTTCTCGACTTTCTTGTCATCCGCGTCCTTGGCTGTTGGAGGGGCCTCAGGAATTCTCAGGGCTCTTGTGTTGCACGCGAAGGCACACCTCCCAGGAACGCATCATCCTCCTCACATTCACCCTCCTCCTCCTCATCCTCCTCCTCCATGCACGTTCGGCTCAAGCCCGCGCCGACGGTAGGTTTCACGGCGGTTGGGCGGGCTCGCGCCCGCCTCCGCGGCCTGCAGTCGGGGCAGAGATGCGTGCAGGGTGGGATGACAAAGCGGAAGAGGAAACACGGGCCGCAGTTGCGGATTCTTCAAAGAGCAGCGGCGGCGGTTGGGGAACAAGTGGGGGTTGGGGCGGCCGCAGTGGCGGATACGGCGGCGGAGGTGACCGCAGTGGCGGCTGGGGCGGCGGAGATTCTCTTGGCGGATGGAGAGGAAAAGCGCAGGATGGCGGCGACGGAAGTGACCGCAGTCGCGGATGGGAGGGCGGCGGATGGGGCGGCAACGGATGCGAGGGTTGGGGAATGGAGGGCGCCCGCTGGTGGGACGACGAGGGTGGCTGGTGGAATGCATGGGAAGGTGGCCGCTCGAGTGCCTCGGCAGGTTCTCCTGCCGCGGAGCCCGCGGCCGCAACAGCGGCGGGCAAAGGAGGCGGTCCCCTGCTTCCCCCAGGGCGCGAAGAACAAGGCGCAGTTGCGCTGTTTCAAATTGTGCGCAATGAGCCGCTGCCAATTTTCAAGTTGGAATTCTTCGAGAACTTCAGGGCGAACTGGAACGGCAATTATAAGCAGCACAACGCGGCCTTGAAGTGGTTCCGAGACGAGTACGAAGACCGAGAAAACCCTTTCGGCAGCCGCACGCCCGTCTTCGGAGGTACCGCAGTTGCGGAGGAAATTTCGAAGATCCTTAAGTACCGCGCAAAGGGGAAGGCGCAGGACAACAGGGATTGGGACTGGGACCACACTGTCAAAGTGCCGTGGTCTTGGCTGGAGATGGTCGCGCAGATGGATGGACCTACAATGCTGCGCGTCGTGTGCGGCCCTGACAATGACCGCAGTCGCGGGTTGGTCCGCTGCGAGTGCCGCCCGTGCCCTAGCAGTCTCGACAACATGAGGCACACGAAAGGGGTGGACAGAGGACAGGCGCAAAGAATCCCTCTGCCCCAGTGGGATTTCGTCCTCATCCGCGACGACGGCTCGGGCATTCGCGTCCACCCATCCTGGTCTAGCCCGAAGTTCAACACGTATGAGGTGGAGCCGCACTCGCATCCCGTGCGGGGCCCGAGGGCAGGTCTCGGCAAGAGCGATGGCCACGGAACGTTCACGTTCTGGAAGATGCTGCACGCCCATCCGAATCCTGGGCGGTTCGACGCGAGCAAGGGGGCGCAGCTGCAACCGCGGTGGTCCGCGCAGCCTTGACACCGCAGTTGCGGGATTGCGCAGCCATGGAACCGCAGTTGCGGGGACCGATCGCGTGACGCCGCGCTCGTTTGACTCACTATGCGCGCTTTCGGCCGCAGTTGCGGCGCTGCCTTCTAGCGACTTCATACAGCTTGGCCGCAGTTGCGGCGCTCCCACGACTGACCGCTGTAATTAGGTGCTTCGGGCGCGCATCACCTCCGTTGAAGCACTCGTGACGTTAATTAGCGCGGCCGCAGTTGCGGAGACAGGTACTTAAACAGATGGATCCGCAGTTGTTCGTCGTCCTCGTCGCCCCTTCCCCGTCGTCCTCGTCGCAGTCTCCTCCCTCCGCCTTTCCTCCTCGTCGCAGTTCCTTCCGTTGGCCGTAGCCCGCCTCCGTTGGCCGAGTCATTTCCCGTCGTCCTCGTCGCAGTCCCCCCCGAGGGCCGCAGTTGCGGACTTTGTTGATTCCTCCTCCTCCGTTTCTGCCCCGTCATCCTCGTCGCAGTCCCCTTGCTCCTTTCACCCTCGTCTGAGCTCTTCGCGCCATCCTCTTCCGTCGCGTCCTCTCCATCCTCCTCTTCGCCTTCCTCGTCCTCATCCCCGCCGTCTCCCTCGTTGTCCTTCCTCTCCCAAGCCGGCCGCAGTTCCCCCGTCGGACGGGGGCCGCGCGCGGCCACGCCATGGACCCAGGTCGCAAAGCCGAGGTCGACAAGCGGTTCGCCGAGCTGAAGCAGCAACTGCGGGAAAGGTTCGGCCTGCAAGGGGCTGCCGCGGATGCCGCAGTCGCGGAGCCGACGGAGGACCGCAGTTGCGGAAGCCCCGAGCGACCGCCGCGCGAGGCCTCCCCGCAGTCGTCTAGCTCCTCGCGGGAATATCGGCCGCCGCCGCCGATAAGCGCTGCGAGTGGGAGCTCTGCTGGTGGGAGGCGCGAAGAGGCGCAGTTGCGCAGGGCGCACTTGACCCCCAAGGCAAAATGGGGGCCTCGGGCGCAGACGCCGACGAAGCAGCAGGACCAACCAGCAGTGACGGGAGCCGCCACCGAGACCGCAGTTGCGGGGGTGGCCGGCGAGCCAGGTGCCGCGCGCGGCTCATCTGGGAGCAGCGCGCCCTCGGCCGTGCTGCTCGCAGCCGAGTCCAAACGAGGCGCCCAACCCGAAGACGAGGCCGCCTCCCAGGAGAAAGCCGCCGAGACAATCGCCTCGGCCGATTCGCGGCCGAGGAAAAGGCCGCCTCCCACGGAAGGCTCGCCGCTGTCAGAACCGCAGTCGCGGGGTCGCGCGGGGCCTCCGTCGGAACCGCAGTTGCGGGAAGATGCGGGAGCACCGCGGAAGAAGCAGCGGACCAGGTCCCCTCCAGGGATAAACTACGTTGGGGAACGCCCCAAGTGGAACGAAGGATTCCTTCGTACAGCAGACGGCAATCGGGTTCCGTCCACCATCGCTTTGGTGTTCAACGTGGTGGTCATCACGAAGGTGGCAACAAAGGAAGATGTCTTCAGGTGCATCTTGCACCAAACTGCGGCGG